ACCTGGCATGGGAATCCCTCTCATTCTCAATCACCACTTCTGGTCCTGTACCTAGTATAGCCATTTGCTCTTACAATAAGGGAAAGAGCTACGCAAACTCAAACAGAAGCCATGCACCGGAACTCCATGCTGCCATTTCCACAACACTCTCATCCTTGGGGATGACACTCATGTCTAGGGATGCCTTTCAATGTTACACACTGCAGATGCCCTGATATCTATCTCCTTTCAGTTGCCAAAAAACAAGTGGATCCTGTGAAATCACATCAGAAAGAGCATGTCGAGTAGCTAGCCCTGGCCTGAGCTGGGAGTGGGGCTGCGGAGTGAATGGAGCCCTGACTGTGGCTTTAGCCCAAGCTGAAATGTTTAGATCAAATGGACGGGGGCACCCCCTCAGAGGCCTCTCCTATTTGCCCCCTCACATGGATCCTGTCTTACTCTCCTTCATAGCGTGTTTGTATCTGCCTCCTTTGCTGAACTTGATTGTGGAGGTTCCCTTTGTGGGTCATGGCCAGGTCCCCAGTGCCTAGGACAATGCTTAACATACAGACAACACTGGATAAAATATTTGTTGAAGAATGGGTAGGAAAAAAAACACAGAAAGACCAGCAGGTGTGTGAACTAATTTCCGAGTGTCTGGAGACAGGACCAGTAGAGGAGTGGGAAGGGTCTGCAAAGACTTCACGGAAGCAGAACAAAATGAGTGAGGCCTTGGAGGCAAGAGCACAGGCCCAAGCAGAGACTGGAAAATATGAGATAATCTAAGCAAGGTGGTTCCGCCCTTCCTCCCTCTCCCAGCACTTCCTGCTCCAGACAGGGGCTCTGCCTCAACTCAGGCTTCTGTGCCTCCTGTCTGTCCTGCCATGGGTGGAAGGAGTTCTTTCCAAAGCCAGGGTGAGGCCCTTCCAGACCCTGTTTACCCAGGGCCCTGCCCTGTTCCCTGTGAACCGCCCTGCCTGAGAGCACCTAGCAGGGTCAGCTCTCTCTCCACGCCTCCTTCCGACTAGAAGGACCTCCTAGCTCAGAACACTTTCTCAGTGGGGTTAGCATAGTCCTCATCTTCCTTTCTTTGGAGGACAGTGGGCCGCTCTACTCTTGAAAGGGTTACTGTATGAGCACAGGTTACAAATCGGGAGCTTGCGCTCTAATCCCCGCCCCATCCCTCGAAGACTCTGGGTCCTTAAGCCCTCAAGTTCATCTGTAAACAAACATAATACCTCATGGGGTTGTTAGGAGAACCAAGTTATCTTAAAGGGCTTAGCCCAGTGCCTGGTCACCCTATGCTCAGCAAGAGGCTGTGTCCCTGTATGCTGACTACCCTGGCCTGCAGCTTCCCTGCTCCAAGTCAGACTCAGTTTGTAACACAGAGTTCCCGAGTTTTTTGTTTGGTTGGTTGGTTTCTTTTAAACTTACACTCCTTGTACAGGCAGAGCTCCCTGTACTCCTATAATCCACAAGGAACCCACTACAGTGTTCTGCAGGGGTCCTGGCAGCCACGTAATGAGTGCTGATGGCTAATGAACAGAATGGACGTTGGCTACAAGGCTCGGTGGATGCCCTGAAGAGCTTCTTCACATCTTCAGCCCCTCACTGACTCCCTAACCCTTTCCCTAAGAGTTCTGAGGGACAGATGCCCTCTTCTTCCACCCTCCCAGCCACCCCATTTTCCAGCCCAGCTCACAATGCCCAAGGGGCTGATCAGGCACCTCTAGCCCTTTCCTCAGATGCAACTTTGTGCCAACTCTGTTGGAGAAGACAATGGTCAGGCCCACACCAGGAGAAGCCTTAGTGGGCTTAAAGGAAATGTTCTTGTCCCACGTGCAGGGATAAAACAGTTGTTCCATTGTTGGCAGAGCAGGAATGCCAGGGTACCAGGTGTAGCTCAGTACGGTCCCGGAAACTTGACTGGGCAACAAGGGAATGAAGAAAAGGTAGACACGCACACAGAAAAGCTATGGTCAGGTTGGCAATGCACACAGCAGCACCAACTACACAGCAATGCAGAACCTCATCAGCCTATTTATTGTGCCCAGAACCAGCTGGGGTGAGCTCGCCCCAGTACGAGGTCTCTGGTAGTCTCGGGTTGCAGTCCCCTGGGAGGAGGAAGCTGCGGTTGCTAGTTTTCTCACACACTGGTCAAGACTTGTCCGTGAACCAGAGAAGGCTTTGCCAGCTGCCAACAGACTGAGGTGTTAATAAAACACATTCACTCAAGATTTCATCCACTCCTTACATGTTCACCCAAGGCTTCCTCCACACACTGGGACCCAGAGGCTGACAGCTATCGGGCCTGACTTGCTTAGCAGGGAGCTTTCTGTGACCTTAGGTCCCTCATGTTCCTCCAACCTTCCAAACACCAAGTTCTGTCCAGCTACTGTGGCCGAGGAGCAGTTACCATTACAGTATGCTAGAAGGTGGCAAAAGGCAGAGTGGAAAACAACCAGAAAAGGAACAAACTTGGGCTTAAGAAGCAACTAGAAATGGAGTGACCAGGAACATCCCTTAGAAAACTTGATATTGAAAGGAAAAAAAGAAGCCAGGAAGGCTGGGAGATGGCTCAACTGGTAGAGGGCTTGCTGAGTCAGCGTGAGGACCAGAGTTCAATCCCCAGAACACACACAACACAGGCATGGTGGCTTGTATGTGTAGTCCCAGTGGTTATGGAGGTGGAGATATGCTAATCGTTGGGGCTTGCTGTCTAGCCAGCCTAACCTACTTGGCCAACTCCAAGCCAGTGAGAGACCCTGTCTCAAAACATAAGGTTGTGAGCTGGAGAGATGGCTCAGTGGCTGGCACTGGCTGCTCTTTGAAAGAACCTGGGTGTCATTTCCAGAACCCACATGGTGGCTCACAACCATCTGTAACTTGTCACAGGGGATATGACACCTTCCTCTGGCCTCCATGGGCATCGTATGCATGCGATGCACAGACCTGCATGCAGACAAAACACTCAGCATATAAAAATATTTAAAATAAAAAGCACAAGGCAGACAGCACCTCTGAAATGATACTTGCCATTGACATCTCGCTTCCGTACACACCCATGAAGCAGCGAGGGCCTGTTTGTTTTGAAGGTGCACGTTGGATGTGGAAGAGCTCAAAGATGACGAAAAGGGCTGGGCAGATGGAAAGAGAATGAATGCCACTGACAGACAGAGGGGCACCATGGGTGAGCGCAGTTGGGGTGGAACAGAAGACTATGAGAAGCTCGGCTGTGGGGACTCTAGCCATCCAAACGGGAGGGCAGCTGGGTAAATGACTCCTGGGAGAGATGAACAAGACATGCAGGCAATCAGCACGTGGAGGTCAACTCTAGCCGACACACTGGAGAAGAATCAGGCCAACTTCGTGCTCTCCTGATTCGGCCCACATCCCACACCGTTCAGCTGCCAAGACCGCTTAGCTTTTGAGAGCCACCCACCCACTTACATTTTTGTTTGTTTTTGAGACCGAATCTCACTATGTAACCCTGGCTGCCTTGAAGCTCACTGTTGACCAGGCTGTCCTCAAACTCAAGAGATTTACCTGCCTCTGCCTCTCTAGTGCTCAGATTAAAGGCACTAGCCAATATGCCCATCCTTTCTTTTTTCTTTTTTTTTTTTTTTTTTTGAGACAGGGTTTCTCTGTAGACCTGTCTGTCCTGAACTTACCTTGTGGACTAGGCTGGCCTTGAACTCCCAAAGATCTGATTCTCCTGTGCGCTGGGCTTAAAGGCATGCACCACTACACCCAGAACTTCCTTCTTTGTTTTTAAAGAGGGTCTATGTAGCCCAGTTGAGCCTTGGACTCACAATCTTTTTAAAAATATAATTTACTTATTTTTATTGTATGTGCACTGGTGTTTTGCATGCATTCATGTCTATGTGAGGATGTCAGATCTTAGAATTATAGGCAGTTGTATACTGTCCTGTGGGTGCTGGGAATTGAACCCAGGTCCTTTGGAAGAGTAGTCAGTACTCTTAACCACTGGGCCACCTCTCCAGCTCCTGAACTCACAATTTTAACTCTAACCTGGTGTACTAAGACAACCAGCTGTATGCACTGCTCCTAGCCCAGCCACACTCACACCCTTCACAGCCTGTTTATTTGCTACTTTGGGAGAAAGTGCACAGAAAATCATCTAGCCCAAACTGCTTACATGCCCAGGCTGGTGAAAGAGCCAAGTGGCCCAGTGGCTGAGCTGAACCAGATAGCAGGAAGTCTGGTGTTGTGCTCACACCTACAGAACTTCAGGGTACCCCTCCCCCATCCCGATCCAGACTTCATGCAGATGCCACTGCTGACCTGGCACTGGTGGTGTGTCTTGAGATGGGCCACATGAAGGACCTCATGTGGCAAGCACTGGCTAGTGGAGGTTAACAGGCATCTGTGACAAAGCACAAGATAAGTGCAAGGGCCTGTGGGAGGACAGGCAGAGGGCACTGATGACACCCTGGCATGTCAGAGACTTCCCAGATGAAGAATGTCTCATTTGCTTAGGAAGCAAGAGACAACCAGGCAGCTAAGGGGTGTGTGGTTTGTGAACAATGCATTCTATGTCAAACTGCCACATTGGGAGGAAAATGTGGGGTAAGAGTGGAGAGAACAAGCGAACTCAAATATGCTGGAGGAAAAGCCAGGGGTGGGAGTGGGGCACACTTCAGTGCTTATGGACCTGTTGTACAGGGATGTGGGTAGGAGGAGGCTTGGAGCCAGTGGCCTGGCTTTGGAGCTGGTGGGTGGTCTAAGGAGTGGTCCTTAATACCAAATGTACCACAGAGACCCGGCCATTGTGACAGTGCAGTTGCTGTTCCCACCTCTGCCCTTGCTGGTAGGATTCATTTTCATGATCGTAGGTTATATTTACAGAAAAACTTCCAGCCAAAGCCAGAGTTGAGGAATGACTATGAGAGGGTTGGGGGAGACACAAGATGAGAAGGAATTTCTGGCAGGGATGGGAAGAGCACTCATACAGACTTTAGCTGGGAGCTCCTGCCAGGCCTCAAGGAGGATCAACAGGCTAGGAGGACAGCCACTTTATTACAACAGTAAACACAGCCCACACACAGCATCACAGCTCTTCTGCACATCATTACCCGGGCCATCAGAACGTCCTGCAGTGATGAAAACATCTCTCTGGGCTGTCCAGTATACAGCAGCACTAGCCACTTCTCGTGGCTAGGGGAGGGAAGAAGGGAAATGAGATCTAGCTGGAGGCTACCACACTGGAAACGTGTCTAAGGCCTGGCCAGGCCCAGGAAGAGTTTGTTTCAAAAACTAACTCTGGGGACAGAGTGGCAGAAAGAGGCCTGCCCGGGCTCCCTTGTGGGGTGGGGAGATGCAGCTGTAGCTGCTGGGAAAAGGTTGTACTGGAGTCTTAGAGAGGAGGGACGCCACGGGCCCGTCGGATGAGGTTGGCCAGCCGCTTGGCCAGGCCGCCTGATTTGGGCTCTTCAATGTGAAAGGTTCGGGTGAGGAGATTGTAGAAGGAGCCGTAGCACACGGCCACCACAGTGCACGTAAGGCAGATCACATTGTAGGGCATGCTGAAGTCAGGTGTAGGCAGGTTTACCAGCAAGGGCTCTGTGTACAGTCGTACGAAGTAGCTGGAGCCATCAGACACAGGGAACCTAGGGATGGGAAGAAGCGTTGAGACAGGACTGGCTGCTTCTCCCTCTCGCCCTGCCTTCCCCAATCTCCCGCCACAGCCTGTGCTGCAGTCCTAGTAAGGAAGCATCTCACAGGAAAGTGTGCATACTCACACGCAATGCACACACTCTCCTGATTAAAGGCGAGCCACCAGCACTCAAAGGGCCTGCCTTGTCCACTGCCTTAGCCTAAATGACCTCCTCAGGAAAGTAAGTAACCTACTGCACACCAACATCTCCACCGCTGCCACCACCGCCGCCACCACCACCACCACCATTCCTACCTACAATAACCTGCCCTTTGGGCTATGAGCACAGGGGGACAGGCCAGGTGCATCAGGTGCTCTCTTTAGTCCTTGACACTCGATACGTGTCCCACTGATGTTAATAAATTCAGTAGGAATATACTACTACTCTCACCTATTTGTCTTAGCTGAAGCACCTTAGAACCCTTTTATACATTCTTTACAAATTTCACAGACCACCAGGATTTTCATGAGGGCTGGCTAAATCTCATATGACTTTGGAAGAGGCCTGGTAGGCAGTGGAGGATGTAACAGCAGAGGATGTGGTCACACTTACAGAGTATTGAAAAGAGGGCTCCCTTCCCAGTCCACTGGTTTGGCTGCCACCACACTGGGCACAAGGGCACTGAGGACAGATGGGCTGCAGAGAAGTAGATAGACAGGCTGTGTTCTTTACTGGCTCCTCCCACCAAAGAGTAGGAGGCAGACGTGGGGGTAGTCTATTGGAGAGATTCCCACCTGACATAGAAGCCGTGGTTGGGGTCTGGTGTGTACTCGGTCCACTTGAGCAGGGCCCGCTCAAACTGGATGGAGACCTTGGTGACAGAGTTGGCCGGCAGCTGAATGAGCATCTCCAGGAGGTGGGGCTGCTGCCGGTCCTGGGCGGGTTGGTAGTGGATGTAACCTGGATGGGGTAAGAGCCACCTAGACTCTGTTCCTAAAAACCAGACTCCTCCCGCTCTGTCTTGGGGTCAGAGGTCAAGCTAGGGAAGCAAGAGGATTCTCAGAAAAGGAGGAACATGTTTCCTATATCCCAGGATAGTTAAAAGCGGTTGCCATGGATGCGGCAGACAATCAGTCTTTACATTGCTAAACCTGGGGCGTCTTGGCTATGGGGATGGCTCATGGGTAAAGACGTCTGCTGCCAGCTCGACAACATTGCTTGCTTCAATCCTTGGAACCCATATGGTGAAGGAGACTCAACTCCTGCGAGCTCCCCTCTGACCCCTTCACATGTACCCCAGAACAGACACCCCTCAAGTAAATAAATAAATAAATAGACAGAAATCTAAACTGGGGCACCAGACATCATTATCTAATGTAATACAAGAGGAAGCCCAGAGTCACTTGGGAATTCTTCCCAAAAATATAGGACATAAATCTAATCAGGTTTCTAAATCTAATACCAGCTCACAAGAAATGCACGGGTGAGGTGTACACATTAAATAGCAGCACAAGGACAAATCCAGAATGTCAAATATTTCTTAAAACAGATGGCCCAGTTTTAGCAAATAACATTTTTTAAAAAGTATGTATGAGAGAGCCATAAGAAAACCTGTTACTTTGTAAGCGAATTACAAAATAAAATTAGGTCGGGTGGTGGTGGTATGCACCTTTAATCCCAGCACTTGGGAGGCAGATCTTTGAGGCCAGCCTGGTCTACATAGCGAGTTCCAGGACAACACAGTTCTAGGCTACACAGAGACCCTGTGTCAAAAAAAACAAAATAAGCAAATAAATAAACAAAAAGCTGTGACCTGCTATGGACTGGTATTAACACTCACCAAGCATGAGGTTCTGGGTTCAATGTCCAGCACAATCATGTTTTCAGTAGTTCTTTTCGAATTACTTTATTGTTGTTTTATATTTAGGTATGTGTCTGTAAGTGGGTATGTGCACGAGTACAGTATTCAAAAAGGCCCCAACAGGGGTCAGATCCCCCAGAACTGGAATTAGAGGTAGCTGTGAGACACCTGATGTGGATGACAGGAACCAAACTTGGGTCCTCTGGAAGAGCTGTGAGTGCACTTCACCTGCTGAGCCATCTCTCCAGCCACTCCACCACCAGCACCATTATTTAATAAAAATGGTGGTGGGGGTGGGGGGTTTGGCTGAACTCAGTGGCAGAACACTTGCCTCACAGGTACAAGGCCCTGGGCTCAGCCCCAGTATTGCTAAAAGATCGAAAGGGAAGCACACACAAAATGCAGCACGTGACTAATCACAGAACTGAGTGGAGGAGGAGGAGATCACAAGCTTTCTGAGATTCCCGCTTAATTTTTCCTCAAACCTAAAACTACCCTAAAAAATAAAGCCCACTTCCTTCAATAATGGACTACGATATGAAGTAGAAGCAAATAAGCCCTTTCCTCCTCAACTTGTTTTTGGTTATGTTGTTTTATCACAGCAATAAAAACCATAATTGGGACTGAAGTTGGTACCAGGAGTAGGCTATTGCTGTGACAGACATGACCATGTTATTTTAGGGAGGATTGTAGAAGGACTTTGGAACATTGGGCTAAAAAAGCCATTGAGTGTTGAGAATTCAGTGAACTGTTCTGTAAGATACTGTGCAGGAAATCTTATGAAAGAAGTGGGAAACAGTAAGATCTGGAGCGAACAGGAACTCCACAAGGAGAGCAACAGAACCAAAAATTCTGAGCACAGGGGTCTTTCCTGAGACTGATACTCCAACCAAGGACTATGCATGGACATAACCTAAGACCCCTGCACAGATGGAGCCCATGGCAATTCAATATTCAAGTGGGTTCCATTATAATAGGAACAGGGACTGTCTCTGACATGAACTGATAGCCTGCTCTTTAATACCTCCCCCTGAGGGGGAAGCAGCATTACCAGGTCACAGAAGAAGACAATGCAGCCACTTCTGATGAGACCTAATTGACTAGGATCAGAAGGAAGGAAAAGAAGACCTTCCCTATCAGTGGGCTTGGGGAGAGGCATACATGCACAGGGTGGAGAAAGGGAAGGATGTTGAGAGCAATACAGACAATGGAGGCCTGGCTTATGAAGTTTCAGAGAGAGGCAAAGACTCTACCAGGCCATTTATGTGAAGAATCTGTGGTGTCAGCTGGAGCTGAAGAATTAGCCATGATTAACAAGAGACCACCAAAGTAAAACCTTTGCTTCGCTGGGACAACAGATGCTGGTCAGCTCTGGCTGAAGAACTAGCTATGATTAAGAAGAAACCAGCACCACTGAGGTGAAATCTTCGGGGAAGTGTTTTCGGAGTCACCTAGGTGGTGCTGGTTTGAAGGTATGAAGGTGTCATGACAGCACCCGAGGCTTGGCACTATGTGGCAGGGCTGGACTCTCTCTGAAGAGAGTTCAGGAGAGGCTACTGGTGGAAGTGCAGCCAAGTTGCAGCAAAAGACCCTAGCATTTTGGAGATGCAGTACCATGGGATGACCACCAAAATCAGCTGTAGCAGAGGAGTGGAGCCAGTGGGAGTCTAGAAGATAAGCTATGTATGTTGTAGAGGGCAGAGCAAAGACATGACCCAAACTCATTCGAGGAGCCCAGAGTTATGCTGGAGTTTAGTTTTGTTATGCCGTTGGAGTTTGCTCTTCATTTGGTTTCCGATTATGACTGTTCCCTGGTGAGAAAGTATTTAATTTTAATATTATAGGAGCCTACAGTTGAGAAGACTTTTGAAATTTTTGTTTGTTTTTTTTCAAGACAGGGCTTCTCTTTGTAGCGCTGGCTGTCCTGGAACTCATGGTAGACCAGGCTGGCCTTGAACTCTAAAGGCCTGTGCCTCAACTGCTTGGCTGAGACTTTGAATTTTAAGAGTTTGGATTTTAAGAGACTGGATATTTTAAAGAGATAGAATTCTTTCCTTCTTGACTTCCTTTGTTTTTGGCTTTTCAAGACAGGGTTTCTCTGTGTAGTCTTGGCTATCCTAGATCTAACTGTATAGATCAGGCTGGCCACAAATTTACAAAGATCTGCCTACCTCTGCCTCCCCAGTGCTGGGATTAAAGACATGTGCCACCACTGTGAGGCTAAGAGATAGAATTTTTAAGCATTTGAATTTTTAAGGGCTGTGATATTAATGTGTGATTTTGGGGAAGAACAAAAAATGAAAGTTTATGGCTTAACGGTGATGTGTTTGTGTATCAGGTCAACCTCTTTACTCTCCCAAGAAAGTGAAGAAACTATATACCCTACCTCTGCTGCCTTCTCAGCTTCCACGACCTGTTTCTCCTTGCCTGACCCATTGTGTCTTAGAGGCTAGGTATCATGAAGCATAAGGACATGCTCATGGGCTCAGAGAGGACAAAGTGAGAATGAATGAAGCTGCTGGCCACAGAATGCTCTAAGAACCATCGGCACTATGTGCTCTAACTGCTTTTGCTTTGTAACTTACTTCTGAATCTAACACAGTGACGCTTTCTGCTGCATGTTTTTCAAACTGTTCCTAACCCTCTCTTTCCACCCGCACAGGCCTTCAGGTTTACGCTGGGAAGTACTGAGAAGTGAATCTGGAGGGCTGAAAAGATAAATGCGCTTAGGTGAGCTGGGAGGGCCTGGTCGGGACTTAGCTCCTCACTTGGTTTGTTCTCCTTGCCCTTGGAGGTGATGGTGAGAGTGTGCACATACAGCCGCAGGTACCAGGGCACAGTGTCCAGCAGCAGCACGGGGAAGGCCCGGTAAGGATGGGAGTTGTACAGCAATGTACTCAGCTCGCCCTTCTGTAGCCCGTAGCCACTCACATACCGCTGCGCATGCAGGAAGGGCACAGGTAGGGCCTCTGTGAAGAGAAAAGAGAGTCAACACTGAATTGCTCTCACAGGACAGTCACTTCCCACCCCAGATTCTTGGGCCGTGCTCAGAGTCCCAGATAGGGGAATAGGTGTGGAAAAGCTCTGCCATCAGAACTGGGAAGCCTGGGCTCTGGGATCATCCATCTTCCCTCGCTCCTGAGGATAAGATGATAACTACTACCATGTGCTCATGTGTCTAACGCTGTGTCCCCTTCCTGCCCATACCTGTCCCCTCAGGGTGTTCCTCCCTTTCCCTTGATGACAACGATAATGAACAGAAGCTTCTCTTTTAGCACTCTATGTTTCAGCATGGCATAACTTCAGAACTATTTGGCCAACTGAGTGCACGAATAAACTGTATTTTATATCAATTGTTAATCCCACCCACTAGGTACTAGTGTCCCTGCTTTGTTATAGACAATAGGGCTTAGTGGAGTTAGGCACTTGCCTGGTTACTGTGATTGGAGGACCTGGGTTTAGAACCGGGGACACAATAATGCAGCCAGTTGGGTCTGAATCCCCATGAACTTGAAGAAAAGACATAAATCTGAGAGTCTGCTGCATGGGCTCCTCATCAACTCACCATTATCTGGGGGTCTCTTCCATTTGAGCTGGAGGTTGAGGTTGCGGGAGTTATTGATCATGGCTGTGTCAAACAAGTCATAGACGGCATAGGTCTTCTTGGTGCCCAAAATGACATCCTGGTATGTGGAAGTCGGGGGAGGGCTCACCTCCAGTGTTTCGTTGTCCTGGCAACACAAGGGCAGCACTCAGAAACACGCAGGGGGCAGGATCATGTTGGGGAAGAAGGGTGTGTGTGGCTAGACACCTTGGTACCTGGCTGTAGCCTGTGATGTCCACATACACCAGGCTCTGCGATGCCAGTGGGCAGGCCTCTGTGAGAGTCCGGGAGAACATGCGAAAGAGGGACCAGTCTGGGGGGAAAAACAGGGCTGAATAAGGGCAGGGCTAGGTGGATCCATGAAGACAGAGCAGGACTGTGACAGGCAGCTTACCCTTCTTCCCCTGTCCCGTGATAAAGGCATCAAAAACAACCGAAAGGGTCTGCCGCAGCTCCCAAGAGATGCTGGTGCAATGAGCATTCTGTCATGAGGACCAATGGTAGCAGTCAGGGACTTTACTCCCATCCAACATGCAGCCCCATCTCACTTCTACTTTCCTTCCCTGTGGAGCACTTGACCCTAAGCCAGATCCCATGTCAACAGCTTTAGTGCATCAGTTTGATGAACCATTACAACCACCCCAAAGTAGAATCTATTATCCTCGTGTGACAGATGAGAGAATAAAGTTCATGGAAATGAAATGATTTCCTCAAGGTCATGCCAGCTGGCGAGTGACTGAGCCAGCAGCTGCACTCACATGGCTGCTGCTCCTGACTTTGTGCTCCACGAGAAAGATTTATTGAGTGCTCCCCAGGCAACCACTCAATTACCCTGGGGCACAGCCAATAACCCACATAATGAGTATCGTTCCTGCCACGCACTGCTCACTCAGCCAGAGTCAGACACAGTTACCTGCACGGCTTCTCAGAGCCTCTGGATAACACCTACCCCAGCTCCCCATGACTTACTCTACAGATCGGACGGATGTGCACTGCCTGGGAGTGGTAACTGGTATGGAACAGACGATCTGCCTTCAGTAGCACGGAGAGACCTGCCTGAGGGAGGCAGGAAGAGATATAGACCTGGCCAGTACCCTGCATGGGGCACCTGACATGGGGGCACAGATTCTCTTAAACATACTCTGACTGCCAGACTGTGAGGGGACATCTAAAACTCCCTTCCCCTTGTGGGACTCTCACTCACCCACACCCACCTTGGAACTACATGGCAAGAGCTTCTTCCATGGGGTGAGGTTTTCAGTGCAGACGACCTCCCGAGGTAGCACCGCATAGCGCAGGAAGTAGTGATCAGTGTCTGAGGGAGATAGAGGTCTGTTGAGGGTATATCTGGGTCCTGCCCCTCAGGAGCCACACTCTAAAGATGTGGGTGACCCCACCCGTTCCCCATACCACTCTAGTACCACTGCCAAGTGCTCCCACCTCCAGGTCAGGGAGTCGGCAATGCAGAGACAGCAGTCTTAGGAAGCTACCTGGGACTCGCATACCCACAGCAATTAGGATCTTGCCCAGCTGCAGATAAGTAGACCAAGGAGGAGGCGAACATTGGGGTAGAAGGTACAAGGAAAAAAGGCCGCAAGGGCTCTCTCACCATTGGCCAGTCCCAGAGGTTTGAAGGAGGCGGTAGGAGTGACAGTATTGGTGGAGTCAATGAAGTTGAGGGATGCGCAAAAGATCCCTGAGAGGACATTACTGAGCTCCTTCCAAGATTTATCCACACTAGAGAGAGATAAAAACCTACTTACTGTCCTGTGGTTATACCTGTGTAACTCCAAATATTGCATAGCCTCCATCATATGGCCACAACTAACGGCCAAGTCCATAGTAGAATGTGGCTGTATCTCAGCCACAAGACAAGCCAGGTGATGGACGTCAACATTACTACCCCTGCTCAGTGATGCCCTCACCTCATCTTACCTCCTCAGTCCCTTCTCTGGGCATCTCAGCAGCCCTGCAGTCTTTGTCCAAGTGGTTCATCTTTCCTGGCAACACTCTGCTGCCTTCAAATTCTGCTCCAGTCTTATCCCCCTCCTCCAAGGAACCTTTTTCGCTCTCCTCAAGCACAGCTCATTTGCACTGTTGTGTTTCTGAGCATTCAAAACCCCACTTAAGTCCTTTTTAGGAGACAGCTAGGTGGTGGTAGCATATTGCCCTAAGCACCATGCTACAGTTGGTGTGCGTAATACTGACCCATATAATAGTCCACAAGTTTAAAATTACTTGTTGATATTTAAATGTCAATTCTCATGTAAAAGTCTGTTTGCTCTTGAAAGTAACACATTAGCTCTCCACTGTCACGGTAACAATCCATAGGAACTGAGTGGTGGCTACCTACTTCAGATTGTCACACGGGCTCTTGGATTTCCCACAAACCCTATCACCATCACTGCTCTAAACCTGGTGATATTTGCACTACTGATCCTTAGAGGTTGGTTAAGAGGAAACACCCTTAAATGCTCATTCCGGTGCTTTATCAGTGCTTTTACTCCCTCAGTCACTGGTATTTTGTGGCCTAGGGTGAAATAAGTTTGCAACCTCTGCATGGAAAAACTACTCCAGGATGGTCACAGCAGCTACTGGGAGAGTCTCTGTAGCTCACAGGCAACAACTAGAAACTTGATTCTGCTCTAAATCGAAACACCCCACAGCCCAATGCTACCCCACAAATGTTTTGTTAGGCATGGATGTGTGTGTGTATATATATATAACATACATATATTACATATATATTATATATATTAATATATAATTATATATATATATATTACAAATGAATGTCTTTAAAAAAAAATCTAGGGGCTGGAGAGATGGCTCAGAGGTTAAGAGCACTGGCTGCTCTTCCAGAGGTCCTGAGTTCAATTCCCAGCAACGACATTTTGCCTCATAACCATCTATACTGAGATCTGATGCCCTCTTCCAGCATGCAGGTGTACATGCAGGCAGAACACTGTATATATAATAAATAAATAAATCTTTTTTAAAAATTCTATTTGCCAGTTATCTGCAGCCTAGCATCCCACCAACAGGCACCAATCACCAGCCACTTTTCTCTTTAGGTAAATGCTTGTACTGCTTGCAAGTATTCGAGCCAGGATTTCACTGAACAAAGTAAAGACTGTCATTCAGTGGTGAGTAATCTCTTCGTTGTTGTCTGTGCATGCACACTGATGCATGGAGGTGTGGAGGCCAAAGGTCAACAACATGTGTCTTCTTCATTCCCTCTCCACTTTTTGGAGGGGTTGCTGGGGGGGGGGGGCATAGGGTCTCTCATTGAACTTGGAGCTCAGTGATTCAGCTAGACTGGCTTGTCCAGCAAACCCGTCCCGCCTGTTTCCACCTCCTCAGTTCTGGGATTACAAGCCTGCATCACCAACCCAGCTTTTTAAACTGAGTTCTGGAAATTAAACTCAAGTCCTCAAGCTAGAATAGCATTTTACTGACTGAGGCATCTCCCTAGCCTTGTAATGTCATTTCTTACTTCCAAAATCAGTTTTAGCTCGGTGGGATCACCTCCTATTGGAGCAGCTGATCCCAAATGACAAAATGACAACACCTTTCCCTGCCACACTTAACAGGCCTCAAGGTGGGAACTCACTCTGTGACAGTGTCTTGGAACCAGACCCAGAGCTCTGCACCTGATGGAGCCTGAAGGAAGGGTGGCCCCCAATATCGGGTCCTCCAAAAGCCTTGCGTGAATGACAGGTGTAGCTCCCTCAGAGAATACTTGGAGATCAACTGTCCAAGGGCTTTGGGGAAGAGCCTGTAATGAGACACTGAAGAAACCAGGGAAGGTGAGTGGTGACCCAGACCCAGAACCTCACCCAGGGATCAGGCCCGCCCCCAGAGATGGCTCTTTTTACGAACTCAACAAGGTGCGACAGAAATTTTTCTCAGGTCCGGAACTCACCTCCTTCTCGCTGCAGATCCGAGTCCCAACGTGTGCGAAACTGGAATGTGGCGGCCACATCGCCGGAAGGCAGCGGGGTGATAACGAGCTCCTCTCGCAGGCTGTCGCGTGGGCGCTCTGCGTTGGCCCAGCAAGCCTGTCCTACCAGCAAGAGCAACAGCACAGCGAGCGGCATGGCCGCCGCCATGCCTGCGGCCCCTTCCGCCTCCCAGCAGCGCCCGCGCCCATCGAAAGCGGTTATCCAATAGCAAGAGGGTATGAGGAAGGACTTCCGGTACCTTCCCGGAAACCACAGTGTGGTTTCCAGCGGTACACCGCCTCCGCTGCACAAATCCTGGCGATCGCTACCCAGCGTGAAGGTGCCGTGGGCTTGTAGCGGGGAAGACGGGGCTGGAGTGAGGGCCCTCAAGGTGTTTCCACCCGCTAGGAAGTGCGCAACGCGCAGCCTGGCCCTTTCGTAATTGAGGGAACGTACTGAAAAATCCCAGGATTGAGTTCTGGGATTACCGGCGTGAGCTGGAAATGTCTTTTGTCTCTACTTACCTGGTTCTAAACCTAGCCAGCAACTCTGAAAGCAAAACTGTCCTGAAGGCCAACACCCTCCCTGTGTTCTTTATTATAAATAAAGTGTATGGCAAAACTGAAAGAACAAGCTGTTAAAACGTGCTTCTCCAACCTTGTAAAAGAATTCCACCGTTAACTGGTTGTTATGGGTGCACGCCAAGTCCACCACAGAGTAGATTTCACACGCGGTTATCCTGTATTCTCGGAATTCCGCTTTGTTCAAATTTCTCTCTTGTAACATTAGCTGGGTTTTTTTTTTTTTTTTTTTTTTTTTTAATATACCACCGTAACTTGAAACCTCACAGATATAGAATGTTCCTAAAACTTGGGACTGAGGATGTAACTAACACAGTGGGAAAGTGCCTAGCATGCATGAGACCTTGGGTTCATACCCAGCAGAGCACTGCGTGTTGGGACGGAACCTCCACATTTAAACATAACAACCTAACGTCTCAGAAAACAGTCTAATGCCTCTTCCCTGTCAACATCTATCTCCAGGACACATTCTAGAGGCAACCATTGTTCTTGTAATAGATTAATATGTTCTAGGACCAAACGTAAATTATACTTGTAATGTGTTGTCTGTTCTTTCCCAAAAGGAATGATTTTGAAACCACACTGTGGTTTGGAGACTGAAACCATAGCTTCATGGGAGTTGGCTCGACAGCACCCTCTCATCTCTAGGGACACAATGCTGCGTGGCCTCATAGTCCCACGTGTATACGGTTATTACTGTGTAGTGCTAACACTTGTATTGATTAGCCAATTTCTCCATTCTGTTGGTGGGCATTGGTATTCTTGGCAGTTTTGCTTATAGTGGGCAAGGTTGATTATGGTCTGTACAAGTTGCTTTATACACATCTGTTTATCATGTCCCTTGGGAGAATATTTAGAAGCAGGATGGATGGATCAAAGAGGAAGTGTAAGAAATTGTCAGACCTTTCTCCAAAATCTGTCTCTTAAAATATGAGAGTTTAGCCAGATGCAGCAGTGCATGCCTCTAATCCCAGCATTTGGAGAGGAAGAGTAAGTTTAAGGCCAGCCTGATACACACAGTGAGTACCAGTGGCTACGCAGAGAAACCCTGTATCAAAAATGAAACAAACCCTGTATCAAAAATGAAACAAAGAGAGAGAGAGAGAGAGAAAGAAAGAAAGAGTTTAGCTAGGTATAGTGGTACACTCCTTTAATTCCAGCACTCGGGAGACAGAGGCAGGTGTATCTCTGTGAGTTTAAGGCCAGCCTGGTCTACACAGTGAGTTCCAGGACAGCTAATGCTATAATGAGACCCTGTCTCAAAACAAAATCCCAAATAAATAAAAACAATATGACAAGAGCTATGATTGCTCCACATCCTAGTTAACATTTGGTATTTTTAGGTTTAGGAGTCAGCTATCTGGATGATCTCACTGTAGCACCAATGTTCATTTTCCTCACTAATGGTGTTGAGCACCTGTTTGTGCTCCTGTTATCCATTCATTTATCTTCTCTCATGAAAGATCTGCTAAATGTCTTTTGTACACTTTTTTTTTTTTTTTTTTTTTTTTTTTACTTTATTATTGAGCTGTAGCTGTTTCAGTGTTAAACTGATTTTGTTTTCCACTTGCCCTCCAGGAAATACATTCATGAAGAATTTTGTGAACAGATTCTCAGTAAATCTCAGAACTGTATTTCTAGGAAAAGCCCAAACTTTGGTGTTAGGATGGCTTACCAAGACAGACTCCCAACAAGAAATGAATTGTTAAAAAGATAACTTGAGGGAAGCTGAAGAGATGGCTCAGTGGTTAAGAGCTACTGCCTGCCTTCCCAGAGGGCCTGAGTTCAATTCCCAGCAACCACATGATGGCTCACAACCATCTATACTGGCATCTGATGCCCTCTTTTGGCATGCAGGTGTATATGCAGATAGAGCACTCAGATAAATCTGAGAGGGAGGAGGGAGAGAGTGGGAGAGGGAGAGAGACGACTTTAGTGGCTGCAGAGATGGTTCAGTGTTTAAAGAGCACGTACTGTTCTTCCAGACACCTGACTTTGGTTGGGTGGGCCACTTATAACTCCAGCTCCAGGAGATCCAATGCCTCTCGCCTCTGAGGGCACTTGCACTCATGTGCACGAGCCTACACACACATACACATAATCTTAAAAAATTATTGAAAAGATGGCTTCATTCTCCCACATCTAGTGTTTCTGATTCCATCAGACATGCTGTAAATAAGGGAGAGATTAGGTGTCATGTAAGGGTACAGATCTCCACAGTGGCCTTTAATCTGCACAAGTATGAGCAACCTGGGCATTGCTTTTTCTCATCTGTAAAAACCTATATGCAAGGGGCTGGAGAGATGGTTCAATGGCTGGAAGCACTTGCAGAAGACCCAAATACTGTTCCCAGCACCCACTCTGATTGCTCCACAATGGCCTGCTACTCTAGCTCTAAGACATCTGATGCCCTTAGGGCTCCATGGACACACATACACAAATAAAAGGACTTTTTAAAAACCAGCCTACTTTCAGGGTCATGGTTAATAGAATAAATTAAATTATGTACATGTTTGAGATTAATAGCCAAACAACCCTACCTATCAGTTAAATAGGACTATTTTCATTTAAAAGATTAAAACAAAAACCTAAATTAAAGCTCACAGAGCTAAGAATAATGGCTATTATCACCAGCCTCCAAATATATATTTTTTTACAAAGGAAGCTGCCATCATAATCATTTCAGCTTACGCTGTTTCCTCCTGAATTGTTTCCATCAGCATGGGCCTGTCCATCTCCTGTTAAGTCTTGCCCTCCTCCTCTTGTAGCAGGCCGTAATCATCCATGCAGTTGTACTGTTGCCTGGGTGGTCTCATGGGCTGAGCTGAATGTGTTGAAATGAGGCTTTCTGGGGAGGTTGTAGATGCCTCAGGTTGAGATGTGTGGGTAACCTCCGCTGATGCAGTTAGTTGTTTTTGTGAAAATCGATTCTGTTGGGGAAGTTGTAGGTCCCTGAGTGAAGACTGTTTGGGATGTGTCTGCTATTGGAGTTGCTTGTGTTGAAATTGGGGTTCTAAGGGGAGGTATGGTATCTCCTAAATGTTCTCCATCCATTTTCCATGGCATGCCTGCTCCTGAAGCTCTTGGTCAACTTGGTATTTTTGTTGTCTGTGCACATCATCAATATACGCAGTTCATGTCTGAATGAACAGACATGAGGCCACAGTCCTGTTATCCTCGCATTACCTTGCTGTTTGCAGGATTCTGCACACTCCTGGGGGCTGTTACAGGATATGGTGACCAGCTGACCTGTGATCCCTCCTGTTTTCTCCATAGCACAAGGTTCTGCAAAGATGAGTTTAGTCTTCTTCCTTCTTCAGAGTCTAACAGGATGTCTACACAGAAAGCCTTGCAATAGAAAGAAGCCACACTGTGGCTTGGAAGACTGAAAGCTGGGCTCCTTAATTTGGAGTTGGCTCTAAATCAGCATGTCGTCTCCAAGGATACTGTGTGGTCTGAGGAAACAGTGAACTGTAAATGAAGCCTCTGAAGGCTAGCCAGCCCCCTGTGGTTTGGCAGAAAGTGGGGTCATTGTCTCAACCAGGAAGTGGTCTTGTGGTCCCACTGACCCTGGTCTTTTCCAGACAGCGGTGGGGCTCACACTAGCTCAACTGGAGATTTCCCAGGGGATCACAAACAATTCTGTTTCTCAAGAGTCCTGTAGATCCCACCCCCAAGAAGGCTCCTGCCCTAAACTCCACAATCTTAGCATTGTGTGTCTAGAGGACGAAAAGATTAATTGGAATGTTGTTGGTAACCTCACTCTGGAGAAAAGAGGGGTGGTCCTAAGAAGCCTCGTCAGAGCTTGAGTGGGTCCAGAGGCCACAGTTCAAGAGAAGGATGGGCCCATTGAGAGAGAGGTAGACCTTTGCCATGGTCAGGGAAGGTGGGCACAAGACAAGGACTATTATCTGTAACAGGAGCAACTTAGAGAAATTCTAAGGGTTAACTTGAGGCTGGGTCCCTGGCCCAACTTCACAGATGATCTCAGCCTGAATCCAGACACTTTTGGGCAAAAGACACAAGTTCACAGAGACAGGAGAAAGCTGAAGGGAACTCTAGCTGAATTGGAGATCCCACAAATTTCTCAGTAATGTTAGAGACAGTAAAATACAATGGCTTCCTGGTAGAAAGAATGAAATAGTAAGCAGAGTGTCCCTCAGCCTGAAGAGCTTTGGGATTTAGGCTAAAGGTCATTTATCCTGCATGTAGTGTTTTGATATATGAAGGGGTTGGGGGAAGGGTCTAAATGACCTTTAATGTGAGAAATGAACTGAGATCCTTAAGGCTGGGTCCTTAAACTTCTCTCATTCAACATTCTCTGGGCAAGTTCTTTCTCACCACAGCTTCACTTCCCATCCATGCACTGACTAAAGCGTATTTGCATGTTCATTTTTCAGTCAAATCCTTTTACCCAAATTCCACACTCATGAATCCTGGTCCCTGCTTACCATGTTGTCTTGGATGTATCAAAAACACTCAAACTCAGTATGCTAAAACAAATTTATTACAATCTTCTGCCCAAACCCTACAAACCATTCTATAGCATGAGGTAGAAACAATACTCTACCTTTGTCCCCTTCCTTCCTAACTCACCCAATAAACAGGTTTCCAAGCTTGCCTCTCAAGTCCTCTAAATCTTCCACCTTTCTTTACTCCATCACTTCTACCCTGGCTCTTATCTCTTATTTAGGTGAATGCAATCATCTGGTTTCCAGGCATCTGATCCCTTGTAATCAGTATTCCTCAAGGGGCCTTCCAGCCTCTCTTTCCTCCCTTAGCCTATTCCTCCTTATTACTCAGATCTCAGCTCCAATGTCACTTCCTCAAGGGAGACTCCCTGGTGACCTCTCTGAATAGGCTGGCTGCTTTGTCACACTAGTCATAGTTGCAAATTTGTATTTGGGCTCCACTACACTTGAGCTCTGTGACAGAATCGACTTTTTGTCAATACTGTAGTTGTGATTTATACTTGTTAAGTAACAATATGTAATATTTATGAAGCAGATAATGTCAATTTCTTTATACCCTGCTCCAGCCGGAGTAGGGTAATCACTACAGCCTACTGGACCACTGTTACCACTTTCATACATTACTATATTATTTGTCCATCTAAAGCCTGCCTTCTCCAGACTATTCTCTAAACTGTAGCCAGAATCCCCTCACCCCCGACAGGGTTTCTCTGTGTAGCCTTGGATGTTCTGGACTCACTTTGTAGACCAGGCTGGCCTAGAACTCCGAGATCTGCCCCTCTCTGTCTCTCTGAGAGCTGGAATTTCAGGCATGCACCACCCTACCTGGTCAGAAATACATTTTAAACAAGCAAGTCCAACTGATAAAGCAGCCTGCTTCCATCTTAGGCCTAAAAGCCATTTTACTGTAAGACAAACTAGGTTTTTCCTGTTTATAATTAACCCTCTGTTTCTCAAAGATTGGGCTACGCCCCAGCTGTAACCTTAACTACAAATGCTTCTGTATTGCCTGTCCCAGGAAGCAGCAACCATGTCTTTGTTTCAAAAAGTTGTTCCAACCATCTTGAAAACCTCCGTTTCAAAGTTGTAATGACCACCCTGCTATGACCATCTTTGTTATGTTCTACTTCTGTAGCCCCACCTATTTTTCCTGATAAACCCATTTGGAACCCCCTAGCCTGAACTATAAAAACCTTATCTTCCCCATGTTTAATGCTGATCTCTTGAACCCTGCCTTTAGAAAGAGACAGCCTGGGTGCATGAATAAAAAGTTCCTTTAATCAATTGACCATGATGACTTAGTGGTCTTTCTCTCCTTGTGTCTTTGGGATTAGCACAACAGTCCAAGCTCTTTAACATGGCCTCTGTCCATGAAAACTGCTCATAACTACTCTTCTTTTGCTCCTTAGTAACAAAACCCTGACCTGTCAAGGCAGTAGGGGCACCTATTAAAAGGGACATTTCAGCCTCTCACTAGGTGCTCCTCAGAGCGGTTATGTGGTGCTGGAATCTGGTGCACTGACAATGCAGCCATTTGAAAGGGTTATTATCTTTCCAAAAGCTAGACTTTCCTTTTCTAGAAAATGCTGTGTCACAGTGTCTATAAAATGTCTAAAATGAAACATTTTTTGTTACAAAACTCTGGGTAATGAAACAGAAGTGAATACCATTTCTTACAGCTTCCAGATAGAATAGAGCCTAGACTGTGCCCTCTTTGCCCATTCCCCATTTCTTGTTTTCTGCCATGTTCTGCCATGCTAGCTGATGCTGTTAGCCATCTTAAACGTGAGATATGGGCAAGAACTGACAGCATGTGCCTTGCATGGCTAAGGAGAACGACCCAGAAAGCAGCTGTTGCTCAGTTACTATGGAGCTTCCCTACGGCCCTATATTTTGGGCTTCTTTAGTATGAGGAAATAAATTTGTATCTTAAGTCATGATCTTTTACTAGCTGTCAAACTGAAACATAATACAGGCTTCAAAGCATTTCACAATCTGACCTTTGTCAAGTTTACCTCTCCCTGTGTATTTTCAAATCCAACAATTTAGCAAACCTGAATGCATTTTAGCTTCTCTAGGTTAGTCTCTCCGTCATTTCTTCTTCTTTTGCTTATTTTAACTTTTTTTTTTTTTTAATTTTTGAGAGTCTTATGAAACAAGCTGACCTCAAATAATGTAATGAAGCCAAAGCTATCCTCCTGCCTCCGCCTCTTAAGTGCTAAGATTACAGACACGATTCCCCCATATGCAGCTCAGCTTTCCATTTAGTGTTTAAAAGCCACAGCTTCTCCCTGGACAGGTCTCCCCCCCCTACCCCCGCCTTGCTTGGCTACTCTTCAGTGTCCTACAGATCGCTGCTTAAGAAATCATTTCTTCAGTTTATTTCCTGATATCAGAGGAGTACCCGATCATGTTATCTACTATACTGTGAAGTATATATTATACTGTGAATCACTGACCTGATTTTCTCCACCACAGACTAAACTCTGTTGAAACAGGAAAGCACTTCATCTTACTCAGAACTCTATTCCAAATGCCTTGCAGAGATGACATTAAATTCTTAAGTACTTCTTGACTACATGGAGTAAATGAATGATGGAGATATGGCACTGGTTAGTTAAAGACAGTGGGTTTGGTATCTTTGCAATATGAAGAATGAGGTGAAATGAGTGGTATATTATTATTTATTATTTATACCATATCCTGTTCCAAAAACGGACTTAAAGAGGCAGGACTGCTGGAGTACAACCTCACAGAGCACTGAGTGGAACTCCTCAGAACTGCTCAGAGACACGGACTTTGGAGACCCTAGTGGAAGACTACAGGATCACTTGGGGCAGGAGGGGGACTAGAAAAGCAGTGGCATCTTGTCCTACCTCACCTTCCAGCTTCTCACTAGGAAGTCCTACCTCAGAAGAAAACCACTGGTGGGAGGGTTGCAGCAGGAGAAAGTTAGCAGTAAAGCAGGGGAGGCCAGCTCTCAGGCACACCATCCACCATCGTTTCCTCCCCTTGGTGCTGATGTAAGTAAAGTGTCTTCTCCGGAGTACCCTGCTGGGCCTAGGATCTCCTCTCCATAGAGAGTTATAGATTAGTCAGTCTGTAAGGGGCCCAGTGCTAGCTGCAGGGACCAGGCTCCGCCCCTCCATCATCCCCATCCTCCTCATCAGACTGTGCCAAGGGTGTGTCTGCTCCCCCATCACTTGGATTAGGACTTCGAAGGTTGGAGGAGTCAGAGGACAAGGAGGAGGTCCGGGATGTGGTTCTGTCTGATGTGGGTACCAGCAGGCTCAGCTCCTCTGGATGGTCATCTGGTCCTGCCCAGAGAAAAGAGCTGGTCAGGGCCACACACACAGGGCTTTAGAGAACTCAAGAGATAGAAAATGAAGTACAGAGAAAGGCGGGCAACTGTCCAGAATCACTTCCCCAGTCAGTAAGGAGCCAGAATTAGGACCTCTAACCCCTTCTACATCACTATAATCTCTTATGTTCTGGAGTCAACCCAAGAGTTCAGGCTCTGCCTCACTTCTTCCTGAGGAGCTTCAGGCAAGTAATTTTTCTCTACTAAGGACTCTGTTCTTCCTGTGAAAGGGATACCTACATCTCTAAATTTTTAGGGTAAAATCCTAAGAACGTGTATCAAATATCTAAGAGGCTGTTAGGAAATAAAAGCAGTTTGTTCTTTTCAGGCTAGGTAGGCCTTGTTTTGTAGTTGGCTTCAAGCTCATGCTTGTCCTGCCTCTGTTTCCTGAGGGCTGTGATTAGGAGAAGCTATCAATCTCAGAAGCAGTTTTAAATAAGAGTAAGAGTCTTACATGTTTAGTGGACACGGTTTGGAGCCAGGCAGAGGGTTTGAATACGAGCTTTTCCACTTCCTCCCTATGTGACTGAACTTTTCTGAGCCTAATTTTCTTTCTCAGTGCCAGGGTTTTGTACATGCCAGGCAAGCATATTGTGTAAACTGTGCTTCTGAACTCATTCCTAGCCCCTAACTTCCTTCTTTATGAAATGAAGAGTCTACTCTCTGCCCTGATAAGGACCAAGAGAAAATACGTGAAGTCCTTTAGCACAGTATTAAGAACCCTGTAAATCCTCCAATAAAATTTAATATTACGACTAAAACTGCTTAGGTTATCTAACATGATCATTATATTTTGGCATTATTTTAATTATAGTAATTATGATTATTTCACAAACATAAGAATTTAAAAGCTAAAGTACCTAGCCATTGTTAGAACTTTGGCTGAAGAATGTGCAGCCCAACTCCCTGAGAGTCAGAGCAGCCAGCTGTTTCTCTACAGACACACTCTCCCAACTTCTACTTAAGATTCTTCCCCAGCTCAGACCTGTAACCTCATTTCTGGCCAAATGGTCCTCAGATCCCTAAAGCAAAGAGGCATACCAGCCATCTGGGGGGTTGGCGGAGAATCCTCACACGGCAAGAACACATCTGCTCCATCCTGATCTGCAAGGTCAATAAATTCCACCTGCTCCAGTGTATCCACATTCACTTCCATGGACGAGATGCTACCTATGGGGGCTGGAGATAAGGGAGGGGTAGGCAGGCAGACCAGGTTAAAGCTGAGAGGATGATCAGACTTACCTGTAAGATCCCAATTTCAGAGTTTACTGGGCCACGGGGAGACAGCCCCCAAGATTCAGGAAACACAAGGACATCTACCCCAATCTACTCAAATTCTATTCCTCAGGACTTGAAACTTACGTCTTTGCGACTCAAGATGCAGATGGGAAAGGGGGAAAACAAACTCTGTGTCTGGCTGTAAAATGTCCTCGAAGAACTTCTGCCGCTCCCTGAGGCGCAGCTGCTGGCGCTCCAGGGCTGCTCGCGGATTTGCGTCCATGTCAGCCACTGAGGGATAAAGGAGTAGGACAAGTACAGTTGTGGGGATGAGAGAGAAGGCTGTGGGGGCCTGGGCTCAAGGAGCCCCACAGCAGCCGGCATCCCAGCAACACGCCTTTGCTTCCAGTCAGGACAGCTCTGGATTCAGCAGCTTCTTTCCCTTCTGTAAAATAAAACTCATTCCACAAATTTCAAGATTCACACTGAGGCAGGGCTGGCCCAGCGTCCACAAAGGGGATGTCAGTTCCAGGCACCACAAGAGCCTGCTGTTGATGAAGGCTGCCAATGGCTGGCTAACCGCCCATTGGCCCTTCTGAGAGATTGGAAGAGGCTGACCATTTCATGGACCCAGCTCCTCAGAAGGCCAGGGAAGAACAGGGTGAAACGGTAAGGTTCAGGGTGTTGCAGATCGTTTTTCCCTTCACAACCTACAGAAAGACTATATAGCAACTTTGCTCCCCCATGCTCTTCTCTTTAAACACACACACACACACACACACACACACACACACACACACACACACA